AGTAATTAGTAGTAGTAGTAGTAGTAGTAGTAGTAGTAGTAGTAGTAGCAGTAGTAGTAGTAGTAGCAGTAGCAGTAGCAGTAGTAGTAGTAGTAGTAGTAGTAGTAGTAGTAGAAGGAGTAGTAGGAGTAGTAGTAGTAGTAGTAGTAGTAGTAGTAGTAGTACTAGCAGTAGTAGTAGTAGTGGCAGAAAAGGTCGTATTAGTAGTAGTCGTTGTTGTTGTAGTGAGATTTCTAAAACGATTACGACTTGTACTACGAATATCATTACCTGTACGATGCTTTTAAATTAATGCGTAGCATCCCGCAGTCGCGGATAAGAGTGAAGGGGCGGCGGGGACGTCTGCAGTCGGCGAGGCTCTGAGGAAGCCCGCCACAGGCGCCCAATCTTTTAAATCATGCAACGAGCTCACCACAGGAGCCGAATTTTCGTTAAAGCGCTGTGGGTGGGTCGCGGGCCGGGCCGCAGGTAGGTCGCGGGTGGGACGCGGGTGGGTCGCCGGTGGGTCGCGGGGGGGTCGCGGGTGGATCGCTTGTGGGTCGCGCGGTGGGTCGCGGGTGGGTCGCGGGTGGGTCGCGGGTGGGTTGCCGTTTGGTCGCGGGCGGGTCGCGGAGGGGACGACGCAACCAAACAAGCAGTCCTCGCCGTGGATCCCCACTTTAGCCACGCACCCAGGGACAGAGCATGACCGTGCGGCCCCCTCACTCGAATTATCATCAACAGTAGTGTTCGTATGAACAACATGATTAATAATATTACGGCTACTATAATTACTAACATTTGGTTTGATTATGTGCTGTCCCTTCCCGGAAGGTGTCGCAAACGGTTCGCTCCATGTGGGAGCCCCGAGGGGCCAATTAGGGCCTTTTCAGGGGTGCCTCTGGAGGCCGCGGGTGCCGCCTCGAACATCCTGGGGGCACCTTGGGCCAGAGACGGCTCCGGAAACCCACGGGATGAGACGAGGGCAGGATAACGATAAGTTCGGACGGAATTCGCCGCCCGCGCGGTCCACAGTCCAGTTCGATCCTCCACACAGGCAGCTCGGGTAATAGCCTCGGTGAGCAGGAGTAGTCGTTTGAATTTTGTCCGCGCGCGCAGGGTGACGCTGGATGGGGGATCTGCGGAATTAACAGGGGCCGAAGAGCAGGCGAAAACGTGCGCCAGGAGCGGGCGAAAACACGCCAAGAGCCCAACAGAGCGCTCGAGGCGGGCGCGGGCCAATGCGTGTCAGACCTCATGCTTGCCCCAAGATGGGCCCTCAGATCCATACCGTAAGACGGCCCACATTTTGCCCCTAGACGCCCCAAGATGGTGCCAACGTTGCCCAAAATGGCCCGAGACAACCGACGGACCAGTTGTTGAAGGGGCGATTCGCTGGCCCTCAGGACTGCAGAATGGAGCCTCAATTCGGCACCCCTCACGCACTTCGTGCCAGGTGCCTCATGGACTCCCACGGGCCCTCAGCTGACCCCTCAGTATATTCAGGGCAGCTGTGGTGCAGCCCTCACGCACCTCGAGCCGACCGCCTGCCCCCACCCCCCCCAAGGGACGCCAAGATGGCCCCCCAGGTGAGGCAAGTAATGTCCCAAGGGGAGAATGCGACGAGTGGCGCCGACCGAACGCCCACTGAGCGCAGAGCCTGCCTGCGAGGCTCCCCTGGGGGCCCGCAGTGGCTCCCGTCCTGCGGGATCGACTCGGCGGGCCCGCGGCGGGCCCTCGCCGCGTCAAACGCCACGGGTGGCATGATGAAGCGACGGTGATCGGCGGCGAGCGAGGGGGGGAAGTGAGACGGAGAAGGCCGTCTCCGAAGGCCGCGGGATTTCATGGGAGGCCCCTGGAATAGGAACAAAAACGTCATCAACCTGACCCTCCGAAAGTCCGCACAGATCCGAGAAATCCGCGCGGGACTTGGAAAGCTCATGCTTATGGAAGTCTCCGAAACTCCGCCAGGACCAAACACTTCCGGAGGGTCCTAAGCACGCCAAGAGCGGTTCTAGGCGCCGCGGCTGCAGCATGAATAACTAATGGAGGACTCAGGATGGAGGGGAACGCAGCTGGAGCAACAACGACGTGCGGCGCGGCTGGTCGCCCGGAGGGCGTCCCACTCGACGCGCGCCTGGGCGCCGCGGCCAGAGGGGGAGCATGCGTCTGGGGTCCCAAAGCGGTGAGGTGACAGACCGTGCGGTGACCTCGAATTCCCAAGACTCGACCAAAATCCCAAACCCGTGCGGTCAGCCCGAATCCCACTGACTCATTACACGCTGTGGTCACCACGCGCACTCGGTATTTCTGTTCGATTCTGGCCTCTGGGGAAGCCTGATTCAGGACCCAAGGCCTTCTGAAGTCAGTCCGTGATGAAGAACGGATCCCAAGATGTGCCAGGTGGCCGTCTTTGAATCGATTCGGGATCCAGTTGGGGAGGAGAGGCGGGAAGGACGAAGAAAACTCAGCCTTGCGCTCGGTCGGTGATGCGCCCTGCTCGAACGTGCAAGCGCGCAAGAGATCCGTACCTCGAGCGATCGACGACAACGTACGCCGAGTTCGAGCGCAACGCGCACCGTGCAGACCATCGTGCACTTGAGAACGCAGGCGATCGCAAATCGTGAAACCCCTCGGGGAGACGAACGCAACGTGGCAACGTCACATCGTACATCGGTACTATATATACACGAATGTTATGTACAGGGGGTGAAGATAGGGATCGCAGTCCTTGACTTCCCAGATCGTACCAGCAATTGTTCTGGTAGTCAGTTTGGGCGCTCGTGCCTGAGCCAAGCGGCAGAGGAGCGTGATGATGCTCCCCCCGGGGACTTCCCTTAAAGCTGGGGGGGACAAACAGCGCTGTACCCAGGCATTGTACAAAGCTCTGTTGCGCCCACAAAGTTACTAGCGCACCAGGCGAGGCGGCCAGAAATAGTTTACAGCCCTACTCTTTGGGAGGACCAAGGATTTCCGACGCGCCTTTGGGCGTACGGCTTCTGTCTGTCTGTCTGTTTGTCTGTCTGGAATCAACCGAGACGGACCCATGTCCCGAACATCGGGCGCAGTAGAAACCATTCGGCCTCGAGACAGGACGGCGGGAGCTACCTCCACCGACGTGTTCGGTCTCCGTCTTCACTGTAGTACGACGA